CAACGCAAAATGACAAATGCCTAATCCGAGAAACCGATATGTCGGGAAGCTGCTTTGAATATATATACTTCTTTTTCGTGAGATGAATTTTCAGCGCGCTACGAAGCTTCGATATACGCGTATATAGCTTGGATGGAGTTGACTTTTGGCATGTCATGCGATTTAATGAAGCTTTGATTGTCCCCGTAAAAAGCTCAGGTTTCGCATGAACGGCCGAGGGATATAATATGATCCGCTTTGAAGCGATTATTACGAGTGACGCATTCTCTTTCTTGGAATACGTAATCATAAGCTTAATTGACACGGTATATTTGTGATTTATTTTGCAGTGAAAACAATCAAGTCATCGCAGACTATTAAAGCGCAATTCAGGATGTATACCGTAAAACAACGTTATCCCGTTGTGAAAGAATTACTCAGCAAAAGGATTACGGACTTTAGACGATCGAACTGCCAAGGATTTGAAATTAATCTCGGTTTGCTCGATTTACTCGCACTGCACGCTAGCCGTCCTTCCACTCAAGGCATCGCGATAAGTAATTACTGATTAATGGCGGATAAGTAGCAACAGCAGCAGCAAGCTTATCATTCACGAAGCTAGTTATGTTGTCTACCAGTGCACAAGCGGATTCGTTATATGTATGTACATAACAGAAAGACTGAAAGTATAATTTAGCTCTGTTTTTTTTTAGTCACAAACGTATCTCACGCGAGCATACTGGTCTGACTGCAAGTTGATTCTTACTACTTCACAATTACGGTATTTTATTTTCTTCTCGTTTATTTTCTTTTCTTGGTCGTACGAATTGGAATAAACTTTAGTTCGGGAGTATCCTCAGTGTAGCAAGCACGTAGCATGCAGGGAACTACATATAAGCTCTGCAACAAACTGAGACAAGGATAGAATCAGCTCATGCCAATACGCGTTAGCCCTAAAGTTAGGTAGCACGAGAGGAGACGTGCTGCCACTGTAGCGATGTGCAGGCACGCGCACTCGTGTAGTGAGAGAGAGAGAGAGAGAGAGGATGCATCGACGCGTATACTTTCACACTAATGACGGATAATCTAGTCGGCTTAAGCCGCTGACCCCGTGCCAGTGAGCATTTTTCAGCATCCACGGTGATAGATCGGCTTTCCAAGCCGTTGGATATGCGATTGATCGACGACGATCTATACGGGTGACAGCCTAATTTGTCGCGAGCTTTCTTCTTTTTCTCTTCGCACGACTTTGCACGAGAGGCTCGTTGACGCTTCACTCGTGTAAATTTGCTCGATAGTGCCATTATTTTTACACTAGTGGGTTCGCGTTCGATAAGTCGCTGCCCGAACTTTCGGTTATTTGCTTCTAAATCGTAAAATTAAATTAAAATATAGTGTATCGGTGAAATGTAGCAAATGTCTATCCTACGTCGCGCGCGAAAATCTACGCAGGAGTTGCAACATAATTTGATAGCACTTTCGGGCATTTGCCACAATGATATGCTCTTAAATGCAAGTGCGCAACGCGTTCTGGCTTTTAGCTTTCATACGCTACGCCTAATGCACGAAAAATCGTAAGGGGAGAGAAACTTTTACTAGCGCCCCGAAAACTTTACGATTGGCCTAAGCTTCAAGAAAAGTAACATTAGCAGCAACGGTCCGGGGCAAAAATTAAATCTCGACAATGCGCCCGGCGTAACTCAACAAAATTCCAATTAATTCAAACGGCAGAAAAAAAAAGAAGAAAAAAACGAAAAAAAGGGACGAAGAAAACATCATCTATTGCGAGGGGAGAATAACGCGCAGCTGTGCAACGAGAGATTAGAAGAAGCATAAAAAGCCTCTCTCTGTTCATCTCTGCGTCAAGAGTAAAAACTGTCCGAAGCAACGGTACAAGCTCAACGCTGGCTAATTACCAAAGAGAAACGAGGAGCTCGCTTTCGTCCGTGGGCGCATTGTTCTCCTCGACAAAAATCACGCCAACAAAGCACGACGTTTCTCGTTTTGCCAATTGCGATCGAAGCATACGATGGTAGATTAGCCAAATTTTATGAATGTCGTTCGTTTAGACGGACCGTTATCTCGATTCTTTTGTGGCTACGTTCGGGCTAAGTGGATTGCCGCTGCTCTCTCTCTCTCTCTCTCTCTCTCGAGCGCGCGCGCGGGCGCTCGCGCTTTTAATTAAAATCGAATTTACGAACTTTCTGCCCGCGAGAGCGAGAATATTGGATGGGTTTAGCGAAGAAGATCCTTTTGCGCGAGGCAATTTATTGCTTGTGTTATCGGTTAACGAGTAGGCGAGATTGTTTTCAAATGACAAAGACCAAAACAAAAAAAAAAAAATCAGCGACGTTGCGGCGGTTTTTCGGCCTGCGGAGAAATTGAACGCCAAGCGCGCAACGGTAATTAATCGTTCGCCCGCGAGAGTCGTCCCTTAAAGTCAATAAATCTGTGGAATTGAAGCATTTCAATGGGAGTTACAAACTAATCGGAAATTAATTTCGTCAAAGCGAGGCCGCGGCGCTCGACTCCAGCTCGCGCGAAAGTTCATTATTGATTTTGAAATGCTCGCTCGAAAGCGCTATCTCCAGCAAAGTAGGAGTATCTTTAATCGGTCGTGTTCCGCGCTCTTGTATTACGAAGTAGTTTACATTGTGTACTTCGGAAATCAATGCTTCTCTTTACAATCAGAAATTTGCATAATTACAAAGCCGATAGCCCGGCACTGTACACATTGGGCGCGGCCATATTATTTGTAGTTGAGAATATTTCTGACTTTTCGGTATAAACATCTTCTTGAAAGGCTGGTAAGTTGGCTGTGTTCTCTACCTCGAAGCTCAGAAACTCGCAAACAGCACAACCCGACGTACTTTTGGCACTGTCGCGGGAAAAGAGAGAGAGATAGAGAGAGAGAGAGAGAGAGAGAGAGAGAGAGAGAGAGAGTGCCGAGTTTCGGGCAGTAGCGCAGCTATGAATAGGCCGTCGGAATTTGGGAGAAGAGCGAGAGCGGAGATAGGAGCTGTAGGGACAGACGATAATTAGCCCAGACACCTACTTTCGGGCGCTCATCTCGCTGAAGAGGGCGCGAGAAGGAACGAGGGCATCGTCACAGCAGTCGTGCTTTCCCGTCGATCGCTCTCATTTTTATGGTAATCGACATCGTTAGCCTTATCTCTGGAGTGCGCGCGAGCAAGGCAGCGTTCACCGTGGGAGCAGGATCCAGCGAGTTAATTGAAAACGAAATTATTTATCGCAGTCGAGCTGGCCCCGCTGCTGGCCACCTTTTCCAGATTACTTTCTGCATTTTTTAATGTCAAACACGGCGACGGAGGGCTGAAAAAGAAGCTACTTGGTTTAATGAATGGTAACGATATTACATCGAGGCGACGGTTTTCGTGATCTTTGCGCTCCTCCTGGAATCTAAATAACGCTCGGTTTCTTTGACTTTTAATGCTGTTTTAAGAGCGATGAATAATGTAAAGCGTTTCTTTTTCCCAAGAATTGCTGGCAATTACCGAAGGCTGGATTGCATTGCGTGGTGCGTTCAGAGACTCGACTGCCGGTCTTTTAAAAGATTTATACAACTATTAGATTTTCGCCGATATTGTAACACGATTTCACGATGACTCTTGTATCTTTTACTACTACTAACGTTATTTATTTACTACTACTATTCTTGTTTTTCTCTTATCTATATAATCATTCAAATAATTTTGTAATCTCTTATCTATTGGTGGTATGCTAATGTTCCATCATAACTTTAGTCAATAGCAATGGCCTCAGTATTATATTACTATTAGTAATATATATTTAAATTAAATTTTCTCTTGTTTCCTCGTTGAAAATTCTCGTGAACATTCTTCAAATTTAATATTCTTATAATTAGTTGCCCTTTCCTGTAAAGCTCTATAACTTTACAAATGTAAAAAAATTAAAATGTGATTTCCTCCATTTTATTCTTGAAATTTTACTCTTTTCCAATTACGTTTGGAATTTGGATACATTTGGATGGTGTCAATTTATTCCAGCATCATTTGAAACGATGTATTCTTATTTTCTTAAAACTGATTTCATAACAGCATATTTTCATTTTTGCAGATTATTACCTATACTAATTATTAATAAATTAAACTTATTGCTACCACGTAAATTTCACACTCTTAGATATATAATAAAGATATTTGAATTCATGCAAAAATGAAAATTTTCGCGCTCTTTCTTAATACCAACCATTCGTATCGCTGGATGTCGGCGACTCATTTTTTGAAGATAGGAACATCAAAGAGCTTCGATCACGCTATCGTCTCGTAATTTCGAAGGAGGAAGTAATTTTTTCTCTGAAACGTGATTCACACGTTCAGAGAAATAGAGAGAAACTTATCAAGTGTATAAAAACTGTTCGGCTCATGGTTCAATCGGTAGATCTCATTATCAAATCCATAGAATGTCTAAACTTCATTTCAAATTTTTCGCACGTTACATCAGAAGCAAACAAATTCTAGAATAATAATTATGTCACGAAAATGCTAATCGATTATAAGCGCACAGCCATCGTTCATAAAGTCAACTTTATGTTGATACTAATTAACTGACACGAACGCACATGCAGCTGAACATTATCGACGTTGTTAAAATTCTGGGGAAAATTGTTTTTGCACACGTACGAGCGCGCTCGGAAATTGTGTAACAGCTGGCTTTGATTGATGATATAAACTTTAAAAGAGAGGGGGAGAGAGAGAGAAATAGAGTAGATGATGTATTTGGCTTGGTTGAATTCGTATTTTTCGCATCGCTAATTCGCTAATAAAATGATGACTATGTCATGTCATTTAGCGATCGATGGCACTTAGACAAAGTATACAGGTAAATATACGTATAATAAAAGGCATTAAGAGAGAGGAAAAGTCTTTTCGCAGACGGACAACGGGGCGAGCGAGGGAACGAGGGAGGAAAAGAGAGAGAGAGAGAGAGAGAGAGTTGTGAGTCTCATGTGGGCAGTAAATTATAAGTGATGAACTTACCTTGGAACTCCTTGCGGGACGCGCTGACGGAAGTGACGATATTGGCCACGTGACCCAGCACCGTCGCGAACAGTAGTAAACCGAATAGCAGCTGTCCTATCACGAACAGGTACTCGCCTTTACTTCTCGGCCTGCAAGTTTATACGATGATTTGGTTTTATTATTTTGTTTTTCCGCAAGAAAGTTGTCTCGACGCTTTGAGGGAGAGCACCTGATTAAGAATGCGACTTTCGAGAAGAAACGCACGCGCAAGAAGCTCTCGCAACCGATTCGAACGAGCAAAAGCTCTTGATCGTTCTTTTGGAGATAAATAGATCGGGATAAGGAAGTTAGCGCTAGCATTTGGCCTACGTTATAAGGATTCGTCGCTCGAGGGCGACTTATTTGCAGCGCACGAGCTTTCCATTGCGACTAAAGAGGATTGTCTTAGAAGATAACAAATATCCCTCCGTCTGCGACTCTGCCTCTTCCGTAACAAAAGAACTCCTGCGGGCTATAAACTCTCCGGGAGCCGTGGCTCGTCTCTCTTTAACGAGATAACTATTTTTACGAGAGCGAGGGCCAAGATGGCCTTTGGCTTTTCGTTAAGCGGGCCTTTTCTGTTTTCGAGCAAGCGCATATGTCCGAGAGCGATACCTTGGCAAATCGCCGATAGTCGTGAGGGCGAGTGTACACCAGTAGTAACTCTGCAGGTACTGCTTGACCACGTCGGCCGTCTCGGAGTCGCTGAACACCCAGTTCTTGCTCCCGAAACCGTTGTTCTTATAAATAATGTGATAGAGGCACCCGTTCCAGTGAAAGATCACCAGTAAGTAATGTATCAGGGACGTCGAGCGGAATAAATTCGGATAGTTCGTGTGTCGCTCCGTTCGGTCCATGAACGCCCAAAATCTGCAACCACAAACAGAACGCCATTTGAAATGCGTCAAACGTTTCCCCATTCCACGAGTATCGGAACTATGTAACGCGAGCTTTTATAAAAGATTGCACGTGTCGACAAGTTAAGGATTTGTCGTAATTGAAAAAGTTGCGGGGACGGCGAAAAGTTTTCGCTCGGCCTTTTTTGCCAGCACGAATTCCTTTGACGTTGGCTTACCGGTAAATTTTAACGAGTCTAAAACTCCGCAGAATACTGTTAAATCCTATAGATAAATATAAACAGTCAAGGGGCAGCAGGCACAGGCAGTCTATGTAAAAGGTGGTGCTGTTCATGTAGTGGGTGCGCAGCTTCGTCGCGTCGGTTTGCAGCACGCCGTCCTCAAGGTAACCCGTACGAAAGTGGAACACTATATCTATCAGATACAAGAAGTCCGACAAGTAGTCCAGGCAAAACCATACCATCAGCGTCTCACCTGGAACAACAGATAACAAATACATTTGTCGTCTTTTATTTTATTAAATGTACGGGGTAGCAATAGTCTTTTCAATACTTTTTTACGTATTCGAAAGCAAAGAGTTGTTGGTTTCTTAATGGAAAGGCGCAGAAAATAATTTTATGAGCTTGAAATTGCAGAATTTTTCTTTGGTATACAGATGAATCGAAATAATGCATGGTTAGAATTTACGATGTAAAATCGACTTAAGAATATGCGTAATTTAAATTGAGAATGAATGAATGAACGTACCGTTGATCTCCTGAAAAGCGAACCTGTAGATGATTACCCAAAAATTGTAGAGAAAGGCTAACGAGACAACCATCGACCAGTAGTAACATAGTCGGCCAGCCGGATCGAAGACGAACGACCAGTTGGGCGCACCGGTCTTGTAACCCACTTGACCCGACTGACCAGGATAACCGCGACTGCCTCGTTGCGCTTGCTGCTGCGCCGCCGTGTAACGCCTGTGCAAATTGCGCACTCTTTGAGCACTCTATGCTCCTTTAATGTGTATGATGCTTGATACATCTATGACTTGAAACTGTCTGGAATAATTTGCAAGACTCGATGGATGGTGGTCGTTTTCGTACAAAGGATTCGAGTCATCTCACACATTTTAATTCCTGACTCGATATTACGATTTAGTTTTCCACCATTCGCTTGAAAAAGGCTATTGTAATAAAAAATCTTCCGAGAACAATCAGTGCACGGAGAATACTCGTTACTCAAACCGAGAACCGATCGACCGCTAAAGAATTATTGGATTTTGCTGCAGTGTTGAAGCTTAAAATGCTAATTAGTTGAATGAACAATCAAGCGCAACATCGAGTGAACTGTATTATTGGTAGATTACTTACAAAAGTTTCATAGAGGAAAATCGCCGGTATTGGAGCTCTCTAAAGAAGAAAGAGTATAAAAGTTACCTTCAAATAAGGTCGTTCACGGATAATTAATCTCACACCAATTTTAATGAAACTTTGATACTTGGAACAAAGCTTTGGAAGTTTGCCAATTTACAGACTGTATACAGCTGATAGAGAAGTTAGATACGATTATACGGTCACAACAAGCAACATTAATATAATCACATTTCACCACGTTATTTCTTCAATACATTTTACCAATGTGCATCCCTATAACAGTGCATTGACAAGCTTTTGTAAAACGTTCAATGGCTTCCTATAACTGCAACATTTCCTCTATTTTCACTGCTATTGAATTATGAAAGCTTTCGCTTTTAAGCTGGAATTATTTTATTTCGTAACATATTTCCACGTAAAAGATCGTTTAAGTATAGAAAATTTATGAAACGTGCACATTTGGCTATATGTAAGCATACAGCTTACATTTAGGTATATGGATAATTTATCGATTATTCTTGCTCAGTTCTAATTAACGAAAACCATTTTTATGTAATACTGTTCATATTCGTGCTCTAAATAATGCAGCAATAACCCAACAACAATGCCATAAAGTCAGCTTCAACGTCATATTGTAAAAGCAACATTCAATAATCATTCGCTTAATGCTATTGTTAGTAATAATTCCAACTAAAATTCTGTGAAGTTCAAGCAGCGACTAGATTTAGAATTATGAGAATCATAAGATAATTTTTTTTTAATTTTACTGAAACCTCAAATAAACATATTAAGAATTAATCCGTCGACCAAAATCCATCAGAGTAAGGAAGAAAAATGAAAGCAACACTGTGGCATTGCCTGCGCGCACGCACACGCACACACACACACACACACGTGCGCGCACATACACACAGAGTAGTCAGCCAAAGTGCTTTTACGGACTATAAATCAATGAGAAAGTTTCAACACTCACGTCTCGGTGCCGTTGCAAGTGCTAGTGCCAGTCAGATGGTTGATGGACGCTGGGGTGTGCAGATGCGACGGCGTAGCATCGCGAGCCGTGGTGTTGGAGCTCGATGACAGCACGGCATTGGGCAATTTGAACTTGCCCCTGAAGTGATCCTTACGACGGTTCTTGTGGCTTAAGTCAAGCTCGCTCGAGCCTCGATTCACGTACGAGCCTTGCAGCGAGTCCCTCGACGAGCTGAAGTATCGCTGTGTAGAACAGGCGAACAAAAGTTGTAACTTTAGCTATAGTCTCTGGCAAGAAGTTTTTCGAGGAGCCCTCCTTGTTATAGAAGACGAGCTACAGGTTCCAAAGTTACGTATACTCCGGTGACGAGGGATTCATTAGCTATTGTCTTGGGAGTGAATTTTCGTTTTTTTTTTTCTATTACTTGGAGGCTATTTGCCACGTTAATGAAACTTTTTGCTCGTTGCATCGATCAACGTTCGAAATATCTTTGCGAAGCTTAGGTAAGTGAGGCTTGCCGTGGCCATACCTGTTGCTGCTGATGATGATAGTAATGATAGGTAGGTGTATGTCGTCCCATGAGCTTGCCGCTGACTAGATCGAGAAGGCTTTGTCTCGAGGGTAACACGCCACCTCTCGACGAAATATTCTCCACGCTGTTGGTGTCGTCCTCGCCGCGTCCACCGCGGCCCATGCGATGCCTTTCTCTTAACTCGCCGCCTGACACTACTGTACCACCAGGCGTCACGATGCCTGCAACGACGACAGCAACGTTATTGCCTGATTTTTTCGATGATTTTCGATTGGCGCTAGTTGCTTGCTCAATGAGATTTGACCACCGGCCGGGGAGACCAAGTGCTGAATTGCGCATTCTAAGCCGGAAGTTGCGAACTTTGCACTCGACAGTCTCCGGTGAGAAAAAGATAATGATGTTGCGCGCTCTCGAGTCGCGATTGCCGGCATTGTGCATGCGCACAGAGAAGGGAGAATAAGCGTCCTTGAGAAAAGTTGTTCTCGAGTCGCCTGCTGCTGCTACTGATCTAATTGAAGATGACTTTACACGTTACAGTCTTTATCAAGCCCGCAGGCATGCCCCTCGGATTCTCAAGCACAAAAATGTAAACGTCGCGCGCCAACGCTTACGGGATACGGGAGACGATGCGGGCACGCGTACTGCGGTTGTCGAACTTTTCTCGGATAAGCAAAATGCAATTAATTAGCGTGCAGCGGTTCGAGGGAGGCGAGTGAGCTTTCACGCCCAAATTCTCTTTTTCTTTTCGATTCGCTCCCGCGCTCAGCCTCGCCGCCGAAGTTGTACGCGCGCCTAACGAGCGTCAAGTGACTCCTTGGCAGGAACGCAGATTCCAGTAATAAATAGCCCCGTCACACCGTGACGCGCGTTTTTCACGGCAGCGCACGCGCGCGCTCGAACAAAAAATCCCTGCCGGCCGCACCCACGTATATCGTCCCCATTTCTGCCTCCCGTCCGCAGAACCAACAGCAATAAACAGATTAACGAACGGGGGTCTCTCTCTCTCTCTCGCCTTCTCATTTGCATGAGCATTCGGAGAGCCAGCAGCGTTTTGTCCTTGACAAAGCCCTCCGCCGCGCATTCAGCGGCTAGCGCGTGGCAAAAGCAGAGGTGCGCCTGTGAATTTCTCTTTTCGGGCTTCGCTCGCTCTTCTTTTCCATCTCTGGCCTGGCTCGCGCACCCTCCATTAGCGCGCTGGCCGACTAATTGCGCGCACCACGGATCACGAGATGGCACTGCGAGCCTAGATTCTTTTTCATTGTCGCTCCCTGCGATGACCCTCTTTTTCTCGCGGCGCCAAACGCCGTTACTTCTCACGGACCGTGACGGGTGCTTTCCTCTTCGTTTTGCTTTCAGTTTTTTTGCTCTCTCGTGATACTCATCCGCGAGCCGAGGACGAAGAAAAAAATCTCAAATAAAATTTGATAAAACAGACGCTTGAGAGAAGCGCGGTGTATGACCGCGGGTATTGATTTGTTCCGAGGGCAAATATAGTTTTTGCTCGCGGAGAGAGGAAAAAAGGGATGCCCCGGTGTGAGCGCACTCTGAATAAATCAAGCCTGCGCCAGAAGTCTTATGTACAAGATGACTTTTTAACCGCGCGTGTGCGCCAACATCTTGGCGTTTTTACAGATGGAAGTTGTCTGGGAGAGGAAAGAACGCCGAGGAGAAAAAGAGAGAGATATTTGGCAATGAGCGATGATTTAATCCTCATCGCACAATTCTCGGTCGTTTGCTTTGCTGTCTCGACGCAAAAGGGCTGTTGATCGTCGTTAAAGGAGATCGAGCGTCTTAGCGCAGCGATCAAGCCAGTGAACATGAGCGCTGCCGCCAGTGCATAATGGGTAAATGGAGAGTTTGGACAGACAAAAATCACGGGGCGCACTGCCGGCAAGGAGGCAAGGCCCGATACACGCGGCCTGTTATCCAATTACCGACGACCATTGTGCGCCTCGCCTCTACCTGGATGATTTCCGCATCGCGTTTCGCTTCTCGCCGATTCGTGTTTCGTTTCTCTGCCGCTCGAGCACTCGGTCTTCGCTAAAAGTTGCGCGCTCCCTTACCACTGGTCACGAACGAATCCCCGCAACGATCGCGCACCGCTCGTCGCTATTTTTCATGTGCTTTCGATCGCGCGCGAAAATCTACATTCGCTTTGATTATTCGAATCGAGGAAATATCAAGTTTCGCCACGGCAATACGACATCCCGTCTGAATGAATCTGCACTTCAATCATCGCTCGACAAAAGTTTCATACGCTTCGCCATTTCCGGTGATCTACTATTTTCTCTCTCCTTCTCTTTTTTCTAGTGAAACAATATTAGCGCGATTGATCATGCAAATAGCCGCGATGTCAGCTGGCTGAGCGTTCGCGAGTTTCTGCCAGCGACACGAACGCACAATCAGGGATTAAAGTATAGGCCAAGGGAAAAGAGGAAAAAAGTAAAAATCTCGTGGTCTCAAAAGAGAAAGGGGGAGAGCTAATTAAGGTGCAGTAAAAGAGTCGTCAGTGCTTTACGGCTCATCCCTAATGTGTTTTGCTTTTTAGCTTATAGACGAAGGAATCCCAAATTGAAATCTACGGTAATCCGCTGGTGGGCAATTTGATATTATACGTCGTTGAATGCTCGGGCATCGCGATGCAAATTGCTCGCAACTCGACGTGCCGGGCTTTGTAACTTTGATCGAGTATGAAATAGGATCGATCGCGTAGCCGTAGACCGAGCTACGTCTGACAGTCCGCATAGTTCGCAGGTAATTATGTTAATTAACGTTTTAAGTGCCACGTTCCAACTGGAATTGCCGCGCGATTACTCGGTCGGTCGTCAGCTCGGAAAATATAATGGGCCATGGCGAAGACAATCGAGCGCGATGACAAGTCAGGCACAGACAACGAGACGCAATGCCAATCGAGAGAAGTCGATCGAAGCATCCCATCGATTTGCTTAGAGCACGACACCCCGTTGCGACAAAAAGCTCGCACAAGGGGAAAGAACAGAAAATGAAAATAAAGAGTTGGCCCGTTATGCAGTGTATATAGAGGGAAGCTTTTGTGGAGATTGCTGCTGCTGCTGCTGCTGCTGCTGTTGGGCTCCATGGCTCGGCTATTGTTTCGCGGCAGAGTGAATGTCGGCCCCTAGCGAGCTCTTTGAATTTCGGCTGCCTGGCTGCCTCATTTGCTCCGGCAAGCCGACTGACAAGGTCTGACGAGAGAGATATTTATGGCTGCTGCAACGAGGCGCTTGGTTAGGCGGACGTAATCGACTCTCTTCGCCTTATTGCGCCGTCGACGGCCTCTCGATAAGTACGCATTTTCGCGCAGCTGCTTATACCGTTATTGCTTGCCTGGACGCCTAATGGGAATTCGCGCTCGAGCATCGTTCAACTGCACTTTGACAACGATGCCATTGCGTTGCCGTTGTGTTTTACTGAAAATGCACTCGGCAGCGACATCGATCGTCCGCCCCTCTCAGCCTTCCCCATTCGAAATCCGCGTTATTAACCGATCTCGGTTACTCGTGCGAGGGCACGTTCCACTTGTGGGAACTTTGCTCCGACAACTTCGAATACATTCAAGAGGTGTTGGCGATTCAGTTGCGAGAAGAACGAAAAGCAGGAATAATTTGGAGCGGGCCGAGCGGAGACGAGTCAACTAAAGGGACCGCGAGAGAGAAATATATATAAGAACGAGCGAAGCTCCGGCACGCGCTGCTCGCGTCCACGATGAAGTCGCCGTAGAATCGTGCCTGTGAAAACTCCGTGGCGTGCCTTGCTCTCCGCGGAGACACGGCTCGCCTGCAGCGCCGCCTTAAATCTACTTCTGCGCTTATTTCACAAGTTGCTCGCTCTCCTTCCATTTTCTTCTCTCGCGATATGATGATGTCTGCCTCGCGCCCTGGTCGACTACTCGTTAGTCTCGTTAAAAGAGACGAGCCGGGGGTCGAGCAAGAGCCTTCTTTCGCGACTGTCGAACCCGAGTTAGAACTAGCCACGGCCGAGTGGTTCGATATCAGTCAAGGTCCCAGCCTGTATCTTGCGCTTCGCAAATAATGACCTGGGCACTCGTTACCGGTGATTTCGGTGCTTGCGGACGAGTCGCGAATACCAAATATCTCCACGCGCTGCATGTATACAGCCATACGTGATTCGCATGCGTGCGCCTGCGAGCCTCTATCTACGAATGTACAACAGCACTCGCCCAGACGACCGTCTTTCTTTCGCCGATCGTTTTTATACGCTCTGCTATGTATGCACTTAGCCAAATACTTTATGGTAGAGGTTCCAAAGAATCGAGCGAGGAGGCACTTCTAAGATTCGCACGGTCAACTTGTGAATGGGATTTTACGGCTTGCGTACATTTACTTTCTTTTACGCGATGTGAGCGCGGCTCACGTGGAGCCTCGGATTGCTTGACTGGAAAGTTAAATGACGTATCTCATCGATTGATTTTTGTTGCTCATTCGCATTCAATCTCGTTCCGAAAGAATACCAATTGTAAAAGTTTTTTGTGAATGCAATCCCCGTTTTTCGGAAGAAAAAACAGCCTCGGTAACCTAGTAAAGTAATAGAGCATTAAAGAGATTGCAAAAAATGGGCTGGAGAGATAGAGAAGGTAAAAGGCAGCATCCGGTCATCTTATAATTCGCAACCGACGAAGAAACAAGCTCAGGGACTGGGATTCTTCGTAATTGAAGAGCATCGCGTTGCAGAAGAGTTCCCGCAGACTGCGACGACAATTCCGCTTTAGATGTTTTGCACGAGATAAACAAGTCGAACATACTTTAACAATGTTTCGATGATTGTTTTAGTCGCAGCGGCGTTCGCGCGAGTCTTACGTGTCAATGAAAACGTGTCATCTTTCAACGTCGATAACCATTTCTGGAGCTCTCCCTTGCGCGCGTTTTATTTCACGATTGAGGTCTCTTTCAGTCTGGCCCCTACGCTCGTTATTGTGTTTTCATTCTATCGTTTCGACTTGATTTTCTTGCTTTTCGCGAGCGAGAACGATATATCTCGGTACATTTGACGACATGGATTCCCCATCAAGTCGGATTATTCCCCGGCGCATAAAATATTTGATCGATCCCGCCGCGTGTAGCGACGCATCTACTTCTCTCTCTCTCTCTCTCTCTCTCTCTCTCTCTCTTTCTCGGAAAAGTGGCAGAGAGCGAGCGAACAAACGGTGACTCGTCGATGATCCCGTCGGACTGCGGCGCGCGGC